AAACAGTCGTTGTTTCTGGCTCTTCACTTATTTTTTCCGAATCCTCAACACAGTATCCGCCATCCGGTGTGTCTCCCAAGTTAAAGCAGTTGTAACGCAGGGGGCAGTCTCCGTCGTCCGTGCAAGCTGCAACAAATGATCTTTAAATGGTGCTCCTGAACATGTTTAGATGGAATGTAATGAATTCGTTTGATTATCTGCCTAGTGTGCTAAGTATGTCTAGTAAATTGGAATTGCCTCGTATAAATTGTAATTCTTACGTAGGCGAGGATGTTTAGGAGCGGTCGTTGTTTCCTCAGGAGCAGTTGTTGTTTCTTGCTCTTCACTTTCTTCTTCCGGAGCCTCAACACAGTATCCACCACCTGGTGTTTCCCGCAAGTTAAAACACACGTAACCCAAGAAGCAATCCGTATCATTCGTGCAAGCTGCAAGAAATGATCTTTAATTGGTGCTCTTGAAAATGCTTCGGTGGACTAAAGTGAATTCGTAAGCAGTGCTTGCTGCCTAGTGTGCTGAATATGTCTGGTAAACTGAAAATCCTTCGTATAAATTTTAATTTTTACGTTGACGGGGATGAAGTTGTTCAGAAATAGTCGTTGTTTCTGGTTCTTCACTTTCTTTTTCCGGAGCCTCAACACAGTATCCACCACCTGCTGTTTCTCGCAAATTAAAGCACTCGTGTGTGGAGGGGCAATCGGAATCGTCCGTGCAAGCTGCAAAAAGTGATTTTTAGATCGTGATTCTGAGCGCTTCTGCTGAACTGAAGCTAATATAGCACGCAGTCGGCGAATATTTATTGCCTAGTTTGTCATATGCTTCATATGCGGCATAATCATTACGTTGACGGCGACCAGGTCTTGCAGCTGCAGTGGTTATTTCTGGCTGCGGTGTTTCATCAGTCGAAATTGCCGTGCAGATACCGCTTTCTGGAGTTTCTGTCGAATTAACACATTTGTGTGACGGTGGGCAGTCGGAGTCGTGCGTGCATGCTGCAACAAATGCTTTTACGTTTGTATTACCGATTTTGCGAACTGTCAATCTATATTTATCGATGCTGGAATGCGCCAAGCTTGCCGGAGCGATCATGCATTTTGCACCAGGCTTGAAGTATTCAGATCATTAACTGCATGAATGGTTATTGCTTTACACGTATCTTTTGCGCTCACTAGCTTAAATCATCATCACTTTTGCATAAGGGAAATGAACAGTTTTCGTTTGACGGTCCCTCTTTGAAAGTTTAACGATCTTTGCGAACTGTCAGTTTGAATTTTAAATGGATTTGAATTTATCTAACGTAATGTGCTTACTCAAAAATTCTACAAATTATGTGATTCTTACATAAGTAGGGAACAGCTGTTGTTGTCATGGTTGTTGTCGTTGTGGTCGTTGTTGTTGCTGCTGGTGTTGTTGTTGTTGTCGTTGTCGTTGTTGGTACAGTCTTTCTTCGACCACCATTCGGGTTCGGTATGCAAATGCCACCTTCTTGAGCGCCAGGCAGAAGAAAACAGGTGTGCGTATCCGGACACTCAACATCGGATTTGCATTCTGCAATAAGTAGTGAAATTTTACTATGATTCAGAGCTTGTTGTTCATTTTCCTAATTTTTTTTTAGGAAGAACTGTTCGTATTCACTTCGTACAGTTTCGATGGGATGTGGAAGAGAACGGGTTTTTGCACTACGAAGCGGTTTTCGATCGTATGCGTTTGCTGGCTATTGTTTTCAGACAAGCACAGAGAAACATTAGACGGCAATAGCTCAGGGGTGAAACACGGACGAATTTCCCTTGAATTTGCTAAATCCTGTTCCTTTCCTTTTTTTTCCTTCTGTTTCCCACCTTCAAGTCGCAAATATTGTCTGATGTGCTGTTAGAAAAAAACAAAAAAAAAA